GCGATTGAAGGCACCAAGGCCCTCTCGTGCAAGTCTGAGTGCACCCTTCATTGGATCTTGAGAGTCTCATGTTCCTACTCCTGCCTTTCTTACTCTAAGTCTAGTCTGCTGGTTCTGAGAAGAAGGCGGCAGGCGGGCTCGCGGCCCGTAGTCCGCACCAAGGCCTTGTGGGAGGTTGCCCCACCGATTGCGGGAGCTCTGCCGGGACTCAGGCGGAGTCCTGGAGGCAGGGAACTGAGTGGTAAATCCTCGACTCCCTCTATAAACCCCACTATAACCCCTACCTGTATACCTCTCTACGTTTGACTGAGAGTATTGTGTGGATCCTATATTTGGTTTTGAATTTGACTTTCGGGATATAAGTCAGATTGAGGCAAAAGAATGTATTAGCAAATCTCAGTTTCAGTTTACTGGTTGCTTGAAAGCAGATTGCGAATGAGATGGGTTGCATCTGGGGGAAGGCTGGGAGGAAGTCAGTATTGTGTGCAGACTGACTGGGTCACTAAGGCTGGGAGGTCCCCTTGAGTTTGGGGAAGCCCGGCGCTTTGTTTATTTTTGAACTCCATGGAGCCTCAGGCCGCTCTATAAGTTTAGGTAGCCTGAAGCTCTGGAGGCTGGGATGTTCCCATAAGTTTGGGGAGACCTGGTGCTGTGAATTGCATGGAGGGTCAGGACGCTCTATAAGTTTAGGTGCCCTGGCCGCTCTGACTTGTGGGGGTTTGACTATGAGTGACTTTCAGGAACCCAAGGCGCTCTACCTTGGGTTGCCTCGCTTTGTTTGGGGTTCTCACAGTTTCTTTGGTTCTGAACRAGAAGGTTTGAACCGCTYTATAAGTTTAAGTGGTTCAGCCCTTCTCCTGTTTTGTTCTGAGGGAAATAATTCTGGCAGGGGACAGGCCGCTCTATAAGTTTAGRTAGCCTGTCCCACTGCCTCGCACAGATTGGATCAGAGAKAAAYGAACCTGGYTGAGGATCAGACCGCTCTATAAGTTTAGGTAGCCTGACCCAATGCCTCGCACATGTAGGAACCCAATGGATATAACTCTGGCAATATTGTATTACTATGCTATTAAGAACAGGCTAGTCAGGCCGCTCTATAAGTTTAGGTAGCCTGACTCTAGCTTATCACAACCGAAGAGAGTATAACTAAGAGATATAACTGAAGGTAAACTTGGGCAGGCTGAGCAAGGTTTTAAGTTGAGCGGCTCGACCTTATGTCCCCTTTGAAGACTAAGTTCAGAGAGGTATATATAAATTGGCTATTTAAATAGTTCAGGGCGACTAGAGTGGTCTAGTCATACGCCCAAAGAAGAGAGAAGTAGTTGTGCCCTCTGTTTGTGTATACCTGGCCAAGTCAGAACGCTCTATAAGTTTAGGTATTCTGACTTTGGATCTGGCTAAGTTGGGCGCGCTCTGTAAGTTCAGGTGCCCTGACCTATGCCTTATATAAGTTGGGTATGAGGGGATAACTCACTAAGAGGTCATGAACTATTGTTTGCTAAAGAAACTTGGGGTTCGTGAGAGTACTTACCTTTGTGGTTTGGCCTGCATGTGGTTGAGTGAGATTACTGCTTGGTCTGGGTTTCAGGTTGACAGGTAGTTGCTTTAGAGGCTCGCCACGTGCTAGAGCGATAAGAGTTAGGTCAATTCCTGCATTTTCTGAGCTGACTTTATTTTACTTGAATCGATTTTTGTATTTTCTGAGGCTCGCTATTATACTTGGACCTGTATAAATTATAGTAAGTTACTTTCTCTACGGGAAGCGCTGCCGAAATTTCTACAGATTCAAGGAGTTAGATAAATTTTGACTTGTCAAAGTTCAGCTTGTCTTTTCGTCATATCTGACTTAGTAAAAATCTGGAAAGCCTTCTTTTCTAAAGGGAGTCTTGCCCAATTTTTTGCTAAATTCAGGGAGTTAGACAAAATTGGGTTTTGGGATGTCAGAGTTAGTCTTAGGTTCTAAACTCGGCTTTGTATAAATTTTGGGAGAGCACTTTTCTAGTGGGAATGCTGTCAAAATTTCTGCAAAACTAAGGAGTTAACCAGACTTTGTCTAAGTTGAGCCCAAGGTTGGAAGCTGAGTTCAAATTTGGCTTAGTATAAATCTTTGAAATCCCCAATTCCAAAAGGGATGCTGCCCAAATTTCTACTGATCGAGGAAGTTAGATAGGGTCTTACTTTTCAAAGTTGTAGACTACTCCTGCGTTTGATATTTGGGCTTGTATAAACTCTGAAAAGACACTTTTCCTACGGGAAGCGCTGACGAAATTTCCTTGAATTAGACGAGTTAGATTATATTTTGATAGGTGGCGATTCTGGCAATCCACCCTGAATAGGGGAGATTCAGCCATTAGTCTGCCTTTGCTTTGCGCACTGGCTTAGGGGCAGGTTTTGACTTAGTTAGCGGGTAGCTTTGAGTGAGAATGTGCTATGGAGGTGTACCCACCATATGTTGATGATTTAGCCTGGGCATTTGGCCTGTCTTGTGTTACAGGTTCTTTGGGGCGTCCGATTCGAGATCAGGACTAAAGTTAGCTTGGTCCCTTGAGGATCACACTCTGTTATCACTGATAACAGGTCGGTTGCCGATTCGTCGGTCTTCGACTCAATCCCAACTCATTCCCCATACTCAACCTAAAAGGCTTTAGCCCTGGTGGTTTTACTGTTTGTTAAGGGTTTTACCCGGACTTTTATTGAATGGTCATTTAACAAAGGTACGGAGTATTTAATTGAGGATGGTTGGGTCGGTGGTTGGGGCTTGCATGGCTAAAGCGAAGGGGCATGAGCATAGAGAATGGTTGGGGTTGACTCCGTGTAGTGCGTGTTTTGTCGCTTGATTCTTGATGTGATTGCAGGTGTGTCCTGTGGTTCGGATTTTGGATTTGGACTGTCTGCGATCCCATATACATATACATGGTTGTGAGGAGTCCCACTGTGCCTGTGAGAAGTGATCGTCACAACTCTATCCCCTTTTGCCTGTATGCGTGGGTATACTTATGATAAGTGTTCGAAAGGCCTAAGAGGCCTTGTTAAAACCCATTTAAAGGTTGAGATCGAGGGGCGTAGGGGAAACCCTCCCCTCTTGCTTATTTGCATCTTGGGGTTTTTATAGTCGGACGTTGGTCCTGGGCCGGGATTCAAGGTCCTTGTCCAGGACATCCTAAGCCCTAGGCCCTGAAGGGGAGGAGTCTCCCCTCGCATAGAGCCTATTTATCTTGGTCGGCGGGACACTCCGCCTGAAAGGCGGAAATGTCGCGAGGGCCGAACGACGTGTCTTTCAGTCGTTCAATATCGTGAGGGGTAACCCCTCGCGATGTGTTCCTTCAGCCATTCAATATCGCGAGGCCAAAGCCGCGATTACCACATATGATTGGCATCGTTGGCCGGTATGGGACTGGCCGGCGGCCTCGCGGCCTTATGTTAAAATCCTGCGTGCGATGCTTCGCCGCACCAACGCCTAAAAGTTATGGGATCGTGAGGCTCGCACGTAGACGCAAACGCTTGAGGTTATTGTACGCTGCGGGCATCACCCGAGGAGAGAGAGGATATCCCAAAGATTATGACCCCGGTTGGAACAAAGGGGGGGGGCCCTCGACCTATTTGTCTGCTTTTTAGAGTTTTTATGGTTGGACGTTGTAGTCCGTGGCAGCCGTCAAAGTCAAACCCCTTGATGCCTGACTGCCACGACAACTTAAAGCTGTCTACTCAACCCATCTGCACAGGGTGCAGAAGAGGGTGTGGTCTTCAACCGCGCATGGCGGTTGTCTGGCGTCGAGAGATTAACCCTCAAGACGCGTGTCAGCCGACACTTGAACGTCGAACGCGACCCTCGAGATTAACGAGGGCCGCACGAGTGTAGGTACCACATAGTACGCCGTCATCGCAATTGCTTGCGTACGCCTGCATTGCGAGTCGATATGAGTTAACCCCCGCATCCGCGCAGTTTATATTAAGTCTCGCGCGTGACACCTATTCGAATTCTGCATCAGGGAGTTATGGGACGACTACCGAGGGGCTTGGAGCGTTGTCGCGTTGCTAATGTTGCGTCGCGTTGTACGTATGTGTGCGTGTGTGCGTGTGTTTTATTCTTGTGTTCGTAGAAGTGGTGTGCGCGTGGTGTGTGGGATGCGTCCTAGTCAACCGACGTCGAGCTACGCTTGGGACTTTAGCCCCCTGAGATGTCGGTTCGCTTGCGGGTCCGATAGGCGTATTACCGCTCGTACCCCCTATGCTACAGCGAATGAGAAACGCCCTCGGCTGGTCCACCTCTGCGATTGCAACTGAGTAGCTTTTGTACTGTGGACTAGTAGCTCGGCGGGGATACGCCCACCGAAGGGAGGTGACAGCTCCCGTAAGGTGGAGGTAAGTTGTGCCTCGCGTAGGCCCTATCCTGTCGTAGGGGCTCGCGAAAGGTA